CAGATGAAACTATATCAAGAGTCTCAGGTGAAGTAGGTACAGGTACATCATGTCCATGAGCAACAGGTTTTATAGTAGATGGAAGGTTCCGATAAGAAATTCCCTTTTATTTCGAGTGTTGTAGCTTTGCACGTTACATGAGCAAAAATAACAGTCATTGTCCTGGTTTTTATCCTCACTCCAAATCATTGGAATTGCAAAAAGGCAAATATTTTTTCTTACCTTTAGTCCATTGTCTCAATTCTTCGACACAAACAGTGCAAACTCTGTGTGGAGCTCATGATTTGTCTTGGTCCCCAAGTTTTATTCCCAAACACGCATAATACGTTTTTTTTGGCGAATTCTGTAATGTTTTGCCTTTGTTTCTTTACAACAAATTTACCACAGATATAACAGAATATGTTTGGGTCATTTACACAACCTCTTGTTGCCATAACGACGAATAAATAATATTGAAAAGAAAAAATATTGTCAAAGTGCACACACAAACAAATACTATCAAGAAATGACACGCCATGCAGCCTGTTAACCGTTTATATACTAGCGGTGTGTTTCTCGTGGATTCTAGAACGATCGATAAGACTCTTACGTCGCTATTGGTCTAGAGAATTCTATAGCCAGTGATCGTCAAGATTTTAAGCATAACAAAATGTGACCCAATTTCAATGAAAATGATTACTTGTGTAAAAGTACATATGACGTTTTGTGAAAAATCTGTACGTGATGGAGCAAAATGGATACCGTTTTCGGATTCAGTGTACAGGAATTACTGTAGAACATGTAAAATGTTCAAGACATTAAAACTACGCAGGCCTATGTATTTAACCCAATGACAGTTTATTAAAACTCTGATATTTAACCCAGTAACCATTTATTGAAACTGATATTTAACCCAGTAACCATTTATTGAAACTGATATTTAATCCACTTACAATTTATTGAAACTCTGATATTTAACTCGTATTTTCATCTTAAACTCTAGCGTTGACAGTAGGTCTGCAAAACAGCACGGAGTCTTCTGTTGTGTCAGAATTTCGCTCAAAGCTACACAAAGGGCCATTTTCCCATATCAGTTCCTAATTTTGTATTGATAAGCAAGAGAGAGAAGGCAGCTAGTCAACAGTACCCCTCCTTCCACCAACCATTCAACTGCTCTTTCCTAATCGAACTCACAGCAGGAGGTCCTGTTAATTAGAAGCGAGAACCGATTTAATATTTTAATTTTATAACAGTTTATTTCATATTTGGTTTGTGGTTAAATATGCCTCTACCTTTATTAGATTTTTAATAACGAGTTTGTTGATGTTTGACAATTTTTTTCTCTGTTTCTTTGTGTGTAAGAAAAAGATGACTAACCAATTCGTGCTTCAACGAGCGATTTTTGTCAATAATTTTATATTTTTAGGTTGAAGTGTGGGTGCTACTCGGGCATTAGGTTGGATTTTTATACATTTTGCTTCTTGCGAGATTGTGTTAAATCTAAGTGATTTGATCAGCTCTGTCTTCTTTTATATCTTCAATAGGTTCTTGTTAAGGATAAAAAGAAAGAAACGTTTCCACTGTTGTTGTTGTTGTTTTTTTTTTCTCGATTTGTGAGTTACTTAATCTGTAGTTTGCGTGACAGTCATTGATGGCAATATGCCAGAAACACAAAATTCGAATATTTTCAGGTTTGCCCGTCGATGTATTAGGTGACCAAAATATTAGTGTTATGATTGTACATAATTATACCCCGGTAGGCCAGAAGTAGGTTTAGGGACTCACAACGTTAAAATTCGGAGCTCGATTCCTTTGTTGGATAGAGCACGGATAGCCCGTTGTGGAACTTCGCGCTAAAATAGACAGACGAAACTTTTATGAGGTTTCTATATCATGAAAGCGCACAGCAGAAATAAAACTATTGTATTTACTGTACAGTTTTAAATTTTCTAACGAATATTTATCATTACACCAATACTGGCATTTATTCATTAGTATACCAAGTTTATAATTGCTTCCTATCCTGGTTTATGAAATCTCAAAAAAAAACTTTGTGTTTTTCATAACCCCCCCCCCAGTAATAATAAAACAGCTTCTTAGGTCCGAGGTTGGCCTAGTTATCACGCTAACGGGGTGCATAACAAACAGGTCCAGTTCATTGTTTGAGCTGCGAAGTGCTACAAGGCATGCTCCTTAATTTCAGACATGGAGGCGTTATAGCTGTGGCAGTCAGTACCGCTATTTGTTTATTAGTAGCCGCACGTTCTAGTGCTGTTGACTAGTTCTTTCTTTCGTCAGCAGTTGCTCTGCTTCAACTCCATGTGTGTCACGTGTGGTGTCGTACAAGTTGGAAATATCAACTTCTGTCGTCAGTGTTCCCGATACGACGTCTCCCAGTTAACCATGTAAACCAACATTTATATGTTTTCACTCACTTAATATTCTCGCTAAACGTGACATGTACAAAGTTTGTTGCAGAACTAAAGTTATAAATATCTGTAGTTGAAAAATTCGTGAGATTGATTTGTGGGAAGTTTATTCAAAGGCTCACAAACCAAAGGTTGTGTATAAAATGTATACATGTATAAATAGAAAGAAGGAAGTAGTCTATGTTATAATCAATAAAATAATAATAATAATTATACCATGTTGAATTTAATTTCGATATTGATTATTGGTTGCGTTGAAACTGGTCAAACTGAATTTCTTTTTTCGTGCCACAATTCGTTTGTTTCTTAGGAAACCCAGCTATATATAGCCGTTTTTATTGGAGATCACTCACGTTTCTCAAACATTCGAAAGTGAAACATTAAACAGTTCACATTCAACACTGTTCCTTCATATCTTAATGTTCTGTGTAATCTTACTCAGGTATGTCGATCTGATATATACACGTGGTTCGTTATTCTGTTCGTGTACACACATTCAGAAGTAATATTTCACATACAAACATCAGTGTACACACCTTCAGAAGTAATATTTCACATACAAACATCAGTGTACACACCTTCAGAAGTAATACTTCACATACAAACATCAGTGCACACACATTCAGAAATAATACTCAACACAAACATCAGTGTACACACATTCTGAAGTAATACTCAACACAAACATCAGTGTACACACATTCAGAAGTAATACTCCACTCACGAACATCAGCGTACATACATTCAGAAATAATACTTCACATACAAACATCAGTGTACACACCTTCAGAAATAATACTCCACTTACAAACATCAGTGTACACACATTCAGAAGTAATACTCCACATACAAACATCAGTGTACACACATTCAGAAGTAATACTCAACACAAACATCAGTGTACACATCTTCAGAAGTAATACTCAACATAAACATCAGTGTACACACATTCAGAAGTAATACTCAACACAAACATCAGTGTACACACATAGAGTAGTAATACTCCACACACAAACATTAGAGTACACACCGTCAGAAGTAATACTCAACACAAACATCAGTGTACACACATTCTGAAGTAATACTCAACACAAACATCAGTGTACACACATTCTGAAGTAATACTCCACATACAAACATCAGTGTACACACATAGAGTAGTAATACTCCACATACAAACATCAGTGTACACACATAGAGTAGTAATACTCCACATACAAACATCAGTGTACACACCTTCAGAATATCTACACAATAGACATCACTCTTACTCCTCTTTCTATATCTATATACAATAGACATCACTCTTACTCCTCTTTCTATATCTATACAATAGACATCACTCTTACTCCTCTTTCTATATCTATATACAATAGACATCACTCTTACTCCTCTTTCTCTATCTATATACAATGTACATCACTCTTACTCCTCTTTCTATATCTATATACAATGTACATCACTCTTACTCCTCTTTCTAATCTATATAATATACAGCATTCTTACTCCTCTTTCTAATCTATATAATATACAGCATTCTTACTCCTCTTTCTATACAATATACAGCATTCTTACTCCTCTTTCTATACAATATACAGCATTCTTACTCCTCTTTCTATACAATATACATCATTCTTACTTCTTCTCAGACATAGTCTGGAATGATGTGAATCAGAACGTCAAAATTAAATGGTAAAGACATTTTGTGTGTATGTGGAGTATTACTAGAAAGAGGAGTAAGA